TGAAGTATCATAATGAAAATAAACGCATTTCTCGATTTGATTTTTTTTTTCTCGGAAACTGAAAGGAATTAAATTAAAACTTTAAAATATAGGCATATCTAGTTAATATTACCTAATTTATTTTGCTAAAATTTTAATTTTTTAACAAAATTACTTTTTGAAATATCCTTGTCCGAAAATTATAAAGGCTGCTGCATTCACCTTAATATACCAACATACAGGGTGTTTCAAAATTTATGGGACAAATTTCAGAAGGTGATTGCTCGCATGAAATGAAGATGGGTGTTTTCTATAACAAAATTTCCTCAGCCCACCCCTTTCCGAGATATCACCCTTAAGATGTGGTGACTAAAAATGAGTTTCTATTTTTTTTTCTAAAATGTCAGTAAAGCTAGAAACTTGAAATTCTGTAATTTTCGTGCACTCGCAAAGGACTAACCACGGTTATTTTTTCAATATTCCTGTTACATTATAGGAGGGTGAAATTAGCAACCCTTACTTTATTTCATATCAAAACTTTTTTCGAGATAAAGTTTTATGAAATAATTTTGTAACTTGAAATACTTGTTTTATTTAAAAAAAATTTCCCAAAACCAATAGCTTCATAGAAAAAAAAAATACTGTTTTCCACTCAATTTATTAAATAAAATTATAAATTAGAGTGTTTATTTTTTTCTCTGAAGTTATTGGTTTTGGGAAAAAAATTTAAATAAAACAAGGATTTTAAGTTATAATTTTATTTCATAAAAGTTCATCTCGAAAAAAAGTTTTGATAGAAAATAAGGTAAGTGTTGCTAATTTCACCCCCCTATAATGCAACGGAAATATTGAAAAAATATCCGTGGTTAGTCCTTTGCGAGTGCACGAAAATTACAGAATTTCAAGTTTCTAGCTTTACTGAAATTTTAGAAAAAAAAAATAAAAACTCAATTTTAGTCACCACCTTTTAAGGGTGATATCTCGAAAAGGGATGGGCTGAGGAAATTTTGTTATAGGAAAGACCCATCTTAATTTCATTCGAGCAATCACCTTCTGAATTTTGTCGCATGTATTTAGAAACACCCTGTATATTACACATTTTTTTAAGCGGGCAAAATTCTTGACAATCTCTTTTCCCTAATTGGCACATGTCGTATTTCTCTAGGATCTACTAACTCTGGCAGCAAACAATTAAAATAAAAATTTGTCAGCTGTGGTAGCATTTTTGCCTTCCAGAATTTTTCATTTCATAAATTAACTAAAAACTAAATTAAACAAAAACCTAACAACGCCTCAACAATAAACTAAGACGATCACAATAATTTCGCACCTCTTCAAAAACAACTATTTTTCGACACAGGAATTAACAAATTTAACTAAACAGCAGCTACCCTTTTAACCACGGGCTTCATAGACCAGCAGCGTTGCCATATTCACTGGTATCATTGTTTTAATAGAATTAGTATCGGAATGAAAACTATGTTAATCTTTGGTCCTGTTTAAAATTGGTAATCTTTTTAAGAAAAAGTTATGTAGAAAATAGTTAATATATTTGTTATAGAATGACGCTAAAGAGCCAAAAAATTAAATTTGTTAAAAAGTTGAATTTTTTTTGTTTTTCTTTAAAAATATAAGTTTTTCGCGATTTAGCGTCATTCTTGGTTCATTTTTAGAACGATTGGCCTGAACCATTTTTTTTTACAATTTTTTTTAAGTGCCTCAAATGTAAGATTGATTTTTGGCGGAGGAGCGCATTTTCATCTTTTTACGGATCAGTCGATACAAAATGGGAACAAGATCATGAATCTATTGCGATAGAAGAATTTAAAAATAAATATGGAAAAACGGTACAAGAATGTGAATTATTTATGAAGAACATCCATACTTTGGAGTAAGTCCATGCCGTATTATTAATAATAATTAAATACTTTAAAATAAGAATAGTGTGATTGACAAAAAATTTCTTTTATTGTAGAAAAGCGTGGGGTGCTTTTTAAGATATTTCCATAATGACTCGACTTTTACCAATATCTGTCATCAAGGGCGTAAAACAGGCGTTTATGGACCGCTACGTGTAAGAGCCCGAGCCGCTAGGCGAGGGCTATTAACACGTAAGGTCCATAAACGCTGTTTACGGCCGAAATACATACAAAATTTTATGCACCGCCCTTTTAATGATAATTTGTTAACAAATATATAAAATTTTATGTACGGCCATTTTAATGATCGTTTATTAATAAAATAGTTATTTGTTTCTCTAACTAGATGTGCATTTTTAAAAGAAATAAAAAAATAATTTTATTTATATATTATTTAACAATATAAGTATTTCCACTTTCTAGTGATTAATGTAAGTGGCTACTCATGCAGTGAATTTTTTTATTACTCAATTATTTCTTTCTTTACTCAATTATTTTCAACCATTGAATAATATACTATTATTTTATCGCCGGCGGGCGGTAATGTAGTTCGGGCGGTAGAGTAGTCCGCGAGCGATAAAGGGACACTTTACGCCCGCTAAACGTATTTATAATCTGGAATTTATCGCCCGGCCGTGCCTAAAATATTATAATGATTTTCTACTTTTTAGTTTGCTTTTCTACTAAAGCATGTTTTTTAGTTTTTTAAACTATTATTTATTTTATTCTATTTTATTCTACAAACTTTTTTTATTCAATTTCATTTGTACAAATATACCTCCGTCTGTATATATGCATCCATATATTTAGTTTTGATTGGATTGAAAAATTCGTGCTTAACTTTTTTTGAAATTGTTTATGGAAAATCGAGTCGTAAACCACTAAGGTCAAAACGCATCCGTATTTCGGAAATCATCTAAAATTCCTATGATTTCGCCGATGTCCCCATTTTATACAACCTCTGTAATATCGGCGGAATTGTTTAATAATATTTCTAAAAAAGTTACCACAGGGATAACTGACTTACTGCATCTAAAGCGAACTTGAGGTGGGTTTTTATTGGGGCTAATCATAATAATGAGTACATGGATGGATGAATAGAGGATCGAAAGAGATGGTAAAAAATACACCCCCTCACCTCAACCCAGAACATTGAATAAATATTGATTAAAAGTTACCACAGGGATAACATACGGTATCGGATTTGGAAAATCGCTAACCCTGAAGGTCCTGATCAGGATACCGGGACAAACTATTTAAATTATTGCATTTTTATCGGTCCTTGATAAGTGTGCAAAGTTTCAAATCAATCCCACGTTTTAAAGGGGATGAAAATCACGTTCAAAGCTGATAAAAGCGTGTTAAAAATAAATTAAAATGAAGAAAATCCGCACCTATGAGTGTGATTATCTCGAAAACCAATCAATTTATGAGTGCTCAACAAGAGTACATTATTTATTTAAATAACGTCAAAAAAATGTAAAAATATGGTCCAAATAAGTTTTTGAAGAGCGACGTAAAATTTAGAGGGGATGAAGGTGTTACATATCTATGCCGTACGCCACTGGCAAAGTTCATTTAACTGATTATTTTGTATCTTATGACACCAAATAATAATATGTTTGCCGAATTTAGTAAAATTATACTGAGAAATAAACAATTTTTACTTTCCTATCTGTATACAGATATAAGGAAAGTATAGGAATCATGATTTTTTTCGACCTCGAGTTTTCGACGGATTTTTACGTTTTGAGGTCCCCTGAATCCGTTTTGACTATTTTCGCGATGATGTCTGTGTGTGTGTGTGTCGCATAACTCATGAACCGATGCACAGAAAAACACCAAATTTCAAACTTAAGCTTTGTTCCAGCGTACAATGTGCTGATTAGATTTTGGGCAGTGTCGGAACATCTGGGGGGTACTTTATAGGTGGTCATTTTTATATTTTATGGAATATATCTGTTATTTACGTTTGAGGAAGAAAATTCTTCAAATAAAAGTTACTTCTTATATTATTATCTATAATTTTTATTTAATACAAAATTTTCCTAAAATGGTCCGTATTCGACAAATTTGACAAAATGTAAAAAAATATTTTTTTATAAAAATTGTTCAAACAAAAGTTGTTTGTAATATAATTCTATATAATTTTTATCCTATACATCATTTCTCTAAAATGGACCGTATTCGAGATATTTGAGAAAATGTGTAAATTTTGAAATTTGAAGAAACCTCAAAAACGGATAAAGAAAACAATTAATTAAATTTTAAACTTAAGTTTTATTTCGGCCTTACGTGAAATGATTAGATTTTGGACAAAGTCGGAACATCTGGGGGGGTACTGTATAGGGGGCCGTTTTTATATTTTATGGAATATATCTGTTATTTACGTTTGGAAAAGAACATTCTTTAAATAAAAGTTACTTACATTATTATTGTCTATAATTTTTGTTCCATATATAATTTTCCTAAAATAATAATTAATTAAATTTTATAGAAATGTTCTCAAATAGCTCTTTAAATTTCTTTAAAAATATATGTCTAATAAATTGTTTAATTTATTCTCTTTATTTACTGTATTTTGGTCTATTAGAGTAATTTAAATATAATTGTTCTGTTAAACAAATCTAGTTTTTGATATGTCTAAATATTGTTAATTTTATTAATGCGTTTTCTAATTTTAATCACTTTCTTTATAGCATTTTGTTGTTTTAGATAAACAATCCGATTTTTCAAACAATTTACTGTATGATTCTACACAATTTAAATTTTACAAGAAATTGTATCTAAAGCAGCCTTAAGACAAGGCCATGACTTTTTATTTTCTTATAAATCGATAAGGTAAAATCAAACTACTGTTATTTTATTCTCAAAATTAGGAATCGCATGTCTGATGTTGTTGGTTTTATGGAAATTCAAATCGGATCGAGGTGATATTGATAAATTTGAAATTATAATTGCGACTGGAAGTTTTTTAAATGCCCATTATTTTTGTCAGCACCGCATATACTTAATCTCATTTGAAAGGGCTATTTAACTATCTACAAATTATTTGAAGTAAATATATGTTTTTAATAATTATAGAAATCATACAAATCTTACCTGTGTGAGACATCCATAACAAATATCAATGGTATCATTGGACTCTGTTGATTGGTTTTCCAAACAGAAAAACTTTGCGAACAAACAAACAAAAACTATAACTTCACAAATTCTCATTTTGGCGCAAAAACTGTTTTGATTCACTTTTTTTTCCTCTATATATTTGTGCACTATGATGTGTACAGGTACGTAGGTAAATGTATCTATTTTCCATTGGCAGTCAATAAACAATACTGAAATTGTTAGAGGAGGGGAAGATAATGGTATTATAATTGTATTCCAAATTGGCCTATAGACTAGAGAGGATTATACAAATGGTTTTTGAATTCTAGAAGAATTCTAATTTTTCTCAGAAGGGTAGGTATACGATGAGTAATCGAGTAATCCCATTATATAGCTACAGATTAGTATTTGTTAATATTTAAAATTGTCACAATAAATATCAGTTTTAATTTGAACATAATTATGTTTTGTTTATACAGTTAATACACTTGTAAATTTTGGAAAATGTTTGGTAAGTTTTAGAAATATTTTAGGCAAATAGGTTTCATACATTTTTTAATTTGAATATCAAAAATATGAATATCTAAAAATTCAACATTATTGCCATTTTTTATTAAATAAAAATTATTATTTCGCAAGCAAACTTCGAAGATATTGTAACGATTGCTTAATTTAAGGCATGTTAGGCATACGACTAGTATACAAGTTAATAAAATGGCAACAGGATAACAGCCAGTCGTCGACTAGAATTAGAAGATATAGTGGTGGGACATACTGTTTAAAAGAAATCCGATTTTTCAAACAATTTACTGTATGATACTCCACAATTTAAATTGTACAAGAAATTTTATCAAATCTTGTACAAGAAATTGTGTCAAATCTTGTACAAGAAATTGTGTAGTCTAAAGCAGGGTTAGGTTTTAGGTTTAAAATTCTTTATTTACAATTTAAGGTATATCTACAGTTCACACAATAATAAAAACAATTCGACACTAGGCCTAGACTTCGTGCGGGCCCGAGGATAATTATTATGAAAATGCGGTTCTCACTCCTTACCATTTCGGTATTATTAAGAAATTTTGATTTGTTTTGTGATCGATAATTGAGAGGTATTTTTAGTTGTGTCTTGTCTTAGTTGTGGTTATTGTCCCCTGGAAAAAACTAGTAGTAGTAGTCTAAAGCAGTCTTACATAGTGTTCAAAAATTAGGAATATTAGTTACTGAAATAAGGTGAATTTTCAGGTATTATCATAATTAGAATTCGAGAGACGCTAAAATGGTGGTTCCCACCTTATCGAGACTGAGGCACACAAGAGTAGACTCGTAGCGTAACAAAAACGAGAAATGATTTAACTTGGAACGAAAGACCGAAAGCCGATAGTAATATTAGGAAGTTGAATTTTTTGGTTTGTGAAGCATTGGCATTAATTATGTTAAACCATGTGATGATTTTCACAAGTCTTGATTTTTAAAACCATTCTGTATCGCCTTTTGATTAGGGTTTACAAACTTGTTTCAGCAATTTATCCAATAATAATTGGCCCCTTTACCTTTTAAGCCTGCTCATGTAAAATATTTGTGCTCCTTACTTGGCCTATTTATATAATATTAATAAAGGACAGAAGGATGAGTATTGCAACTATGTTAAAAGAAATAAATTGGCTTTCATTTCAGAATTATGTTCAGTGGTTATTCTGTGACATGACTGATATTGCTTTATAAAATAAAAAAGACATAGTACCATCGCATCAGATCTATTGGAAAAAATATAATATAATTCGCAATATCACAACTATAACACAAGAAGCCAATCTGACTTTCATGTACGGCAAGCCATCACTAAAAGTTCCCAAAATACAATTTTTATTAAAGGTTTAAGTATTTCCCTTAATTTATTATTTTACTCCTCGCTTTACCCGAATTTATTATAAATTATTTCTGTTTTGAGACCATGTACTTTATTTTAAAGAATTACTTGATGTTATATTAATACTACTTACTATGTTTAAATTATTAATAGTTTTGCGACGATAGGTTATAGCAAGTTATAGCCTCAAAACTATTTTTGTGTTAAAACAGATCCATAGAGAGCAATGTAATTTACAAAGGCCTTCTTTCAACATACAAATAAATAACAACTTTATAATTAAAATAAAAAACACAACAAAATACCTCGGTACCAAGGTAAGAAGATTCATTTTAAAATTTTATTTATTGAGGAAATTTATGACTAGAAGTTTACTAATTATTATTTACAATTCGCTGGTTGAATATGTAATCCAAAATCGTATAATAAAAATTTTCTACAAAAAATCAGCATTATAGCCTACCTCTCTTTTATATAATGAAAAAGTGCTTTGTATACGAACATTATATTATCGGTCTTGCTGTACTTTTATTTATGGAAAGCCTGAATTGAGATACACCACAAATTATTTGCAATAAATATTAAAAGAAGTATACATTTTTAAATAATTTGACATTTAAGAGCCATTCTCACATCACAGTTGACAACTTGATACTTGACAGGCACAGCCAAGCATTATTCTGATTTTTGCCAAATAAAATGGCCAGTTAATTATTCTATGGGGTTGCGACAGAGAGCCAGTAAATTTGATGAAGGTGTTTTTGTGGCTAGGGGCGAAATAGTAGTACGCTTAAGTTAGCACCACCATAAAAAAGTCATTTTTAAGAAACTGCTTATATATTTTTCATAAATTGGCAGGCTTGTCGACTAATTTTGAATAAAAATAGCCTCCAAAATTCCTATGGTTGCAAGTATGAAGGTCGCAACCCGCCTTTGAAATTTCACCTTTACTATGAACAGCTGTTGTTTGACAGGTCGTTAGAAAATGTTTGCAATTTATGGTAGATTAATAATGTTGGGAATGTTGACGTTAGAAATAATTGGAATTCCTAAAATTGTCACATAAGAAATGCATATGCGGATTTTAAGAAAATTGATATTAAAGTAGTTAGGATGAACCTAAAATTCTGAAAATCAATAGGGTTCTAAGTCAGAAGTAATTATTCAAGAAAATCAAAGCCGCAAGTCAATCAGAACTTTCGTTCTAGAGTTATCGTGCCGGCATACATACACACCCGAAATGTTTTATTTGCATTTTCGGACTCAGAATGATCGGAAACATGAAAAAAACTTTTAAAAAATGGGAGTAAGAAAATGTTTTCGTCTGCACGAATGCAATACTGAGGCCCCATATAGGAAGGGCCTCAGTAACATGATTTCTGTTCACTTATTTGTTATATTAAATACTAGATAATATTTATTAAAAATACATGATGTGACGTGTGACGAAAATACATTAATAATATTTAGTACAAAAATATAACAGCTTTTCTATAATTTTTGTTCTATACATGATTTTTCTAAAATGGACCGGTATGGAAAAATTTGAGGAAAAGTGCAAAATTTAAATTGTACAAGAAATTTTATCAAATCTTTTGTATAAGAAATGTGTAGTCTTTAGCCGAATCGAATGTGAGGCACAAAGCTGAAAGGCATAGCGATAGCGGGGATATCGTAGTTGCCACATATTCGCTGTGAAAGCACGGCTATGCTTAATACAAAATAATAAGTTCTGTTTATTTAAAACAGTTCATTATTTATTTACAGTACGTACTAATTATTTAATACTCAAGCACTGTTTATATTTCACAATTCTAATTTATTTTACAATTAACCTTTACTTGACAACATTTATATTCAAACTAAAAGTTCTATCGACAAAGTCGCGCTATTTATACAAAAATGTAACAGCCTAGAAAAATCCAAACCTGACTAGAAGCTTCATGCTAGTCTAGATTTCCTTTTTAAAACTGGCGATCGCCCATATTAATTCCCCGTATGTGCAGAGGTTACTCTTGACGTTTCGGCACTTGCCTCTTTTCTTGTTTATTCTATTTCATAAACTAGTGAAAGTTTAAATTAGTTATTTTATCTTAATAACCTAACATAATTTTTAATATTATTTGTAGATTTTCATTAGTGGGTCGTAGAAAAAATATGCTGTACAACTCGAGTGGATTGTCCATATCACACTCCGCTAACGGCGTTGTGCTCAAATTTTGTCTTCGTGCGATATGGCCATAAGAATATCCACTCTTGTTGCACAAACTACTATTATACTCATTTCTTGTACCTATACGAGGATAAATTAAAAAAATCTAAATCATTACAATATACTTGTTAAATTCAGAACATATACAGAAAGAATAGTTTTATTGGCTGAATTGAAAAATGAACTATGCTAATTAAAAACTAAGTTATTTAATAACGAACAATAAAATATTTAATTCCCGGAATTAAATCATATTAGGAATTTCCACCATCAGCTATTGTCCTCTAATATTTCAATAATAGGTAAACAGGTATCAGACGACAGCTCAATTAAGGGATTAAAAGGGGATAGACACGAATTCGTTGAAGCCGACTAAAATAGTTTATGCGGGTTATTAATCCAACACAAATTCAATGTTTTATATGATAAATTGTATGTATAAGGAAGGTGTATGGGAGGTATATTTTATAGTATTTGTTGTCTCACTGCTTAGAGTTTTTGAATTTTGTGTATGTAGATATATTATGTAAAACTATTTGAGTCCATTGACTGTTTTTTGCATTGAATTCTAATAGTTTTTTTAAATATTTTATCTGTTTTCCCGTTTAATTTAAGCATGGTATCATTGATTTAACAAAAGTTAGCTGTTACATCTTACAAAACATAAACCTCGACATAAACTTAGTAAAATTATCAAAATAAAAATTGACCTCTCATTTACATATGTAATATGCATATACATACACAATTTGATTTATATAAGTTGGTGCATTCCAAAGTTTGTGTTCTTTTTTGTTTATTTGTATTTTAGCATACTTTAATTTAAACTTTTTATGACATGAAAGGTAATTTACAAACTAGAAATAAACTTTTAAAATTTCTTCCTAAAACGATACTAATGCCGGGCCTGCTGCTTATGCAAATTTCTTGTCGTTCGGAGGCTTGAAAGCAGAAGTAGAAAACTATTCGTCGATGGTTAGAAATTTTTAAGTTCCTCTACTCACTGCCGGGGATCGCCACGTCCCTGGACACCTACTTTGCGGAAAGCTATACTTATCTTTTTCTTGCTCGAAATGCGATTCCTTGTGTGTCAGACGCAAACCTTAATTATGCGAGAGAAAACATTCAAGTCGAGTCTTGATCCCGCCAGCGGGCCAGACACCACGGCGCGGTGATGGTCAATGAAGAACAGGGTTGGGCTCAGGCGATCGCACGACAGTATGTAGCAAAAATAGTCGTATATGAGCAGCTTTTTAGCACATCGGAGCTTTTTAGTCGTCCGGTTTTTATTTTATTGTTACCACTTCAAACTTGTCGATTATTTATATATAGGCAAAGACGAAATAGTTCACTATCATTTTCTCTTCTGTTTGAGAATCGATTTTCTTTTTTTAATTTTTGTTTAGTAGTTATTGATGAATTTTAGTGTTATAATAAAAAAAATTGAAAATAGTATTTTTTCCCCAACCTTCTATATATGAAATCCATTTATATAGAATTATGAATGAAATTAGCATATAGCGAACATGAGCAGCCTTTAATTTCGAACCAACATTTTTTCATAATAATAATAAACGTATTCCCATTATGAAAAACATAATAAAAATTCAAGAATTAAAATTATGAAATACGTAATAGAAATTCAATGTCCATTATACAGTGTGGAACAGCCAAATGATATAAATTCGGTAATAAATAGGGGCATGTTCGAAAAAACGCTCGGACACGTCGATTGGTATATTTAGTTGCGCATTTTTTTAACAAAAACTTTTTATACAGGGTGTGTCATGTAACAGTGGCCAATACCAACTTTCTTATTTTAAATGCAACACCCTGTATATTTTTCAATTTTTGGATTCTTTAGAAAATTCTAGATCTATTTTATGTACTATATCATATACCAGTTTAGGAAATATTAAAAGTTTTCCGAATTAATGCAAAAATTAACATTAATAAAATAAAATAATTTGATTACAGAAGTTTGTTACAACACACTCAAAAACTAATAAATAAAAAGCGTCCTTTCGGTTGTGTAACTGGACCATTTAAAAAGCAGCCAATCGTTGTTCAATAACGGTATACTTGACGAAGAATACCGAACGGACGCAAAGTAAGATTTCGTGTGGGATGAAAAGGAAGTTGATGGAGAGAGAAATGTGAAAAAGGGTTTTTGGTTTGGTGGTTTTAATTTTAATTCATTAAAATTTAAGGGCGGCGTCTGGCCATATCTCGAAAACTGTATATCTGGTCAATTTCGCAATTTTTTTTTACAAAATCGTTAAAAGAAAATACTTAAAAATTATTTTAACTTTCCGCTATGTCACGTGATATATCACATAAATGTGTTTTCATAAAAAAATCTATATAATTTTAAACCAAGCTTTCAAAAAAAATAAACAATATTTTGAAGTGTGATGTGTTTCTGTTTTGGTTGTACGGATTGTAACGGAAAGACAACATGTAAATATGTTTAGTTTTAAAGAAAATTCCTAGGCAAGTCAATGCAATTATATATATATATATATGTGGTTTAGATAACAAAAGTCAAAATCATTTTTCGAGTACTTTAAAACAACTCCGTTTCATAAGAAGTCTTTACATCCCCTAGGCACACTTCATGAACTGTTTTCAATATTAAGATTAATGCCAGGAAGTATATTTTGTCCGAAAGCTTCGTTTAAAGTCAACCGTGCATATACGCAGATTTCTATGTGCGAACGCCAACCATTAAGTGCTTAGTTCGCTGTTATTACAATTTCTATATAAGAATACCCCTTTACGAGTGAATTTTAACCCCTGAAGCCAACTGAGCGACTGGTGTAGGGACGAATCCCCAGACAACACAGCAAATCCCAGAGATATCCACTGAATATCTTTTGTGGATATCCAATATATCCACAGGATATCAGAAATATTCCGTGGATCTAATATGGATATCCAAATGTCCGTCCATATCTAGAATATAGAAGATATCCTAATGGATATCCAGCAAAATATCTAATGGGTATCTTCCAGAAAATACAAAAAATCCCAGAGATATCTACAGAATATATTTTGTGGATATTCAATATATCCAATATGGATATCCAACCAAATGTCCGTCTATAATCCCAGGATATAGAAGATATTCGGATATTCAGCAAAATATTTTATCTTTAGTAGATGTTCATAAGTAACAAATGATTATTGAATAACGTCGAAAGAAAATAGCAGAGATAAAAAATATTTTCAACACTCAAAATATTTTCAACACTCTGCCTTTGATTTTTCCCACTAAGGAGAAAGTCATCCTTATTAGGACTCTTCAGCAATGAATGGAAATTCTCGACTCCAGTCTCTAATGGAGTCTGATTAGGACACAAATGTTGATCGAACTCAATTACGGCGGGTCGAGCATGAGTAGATGCGAAAGTGATATCGCCATCTATACATAGTAAGTAAAATCAAATAACTTCTAGTGGATATCCACGATGGTTTGCGTTCGCGCCTAGACTTTGATATATTTAGTGGATGTCCATGGGATATTGAATACACCTTAAAAAAATTAATTGTAAATATCTGAACGGTACTATTAGCCACAATGGCGTAATTTTTTAATAATTTGCTATATAATTACTATTATTTATAGACATTTGCATGTCTATAAATTACATTTCATGGATATAAAATAGATATCCATCATGGACTGGACATTCAGTAGATATCCAAAGGATTTGGTGTGCTGTCTGGGAATTATTATTTGCCGTGGCGACTTAAAGATGATTGATAGTGCCATTTGACTAAGAGGTGAGGAAAACCCGGAAAATCCCACCCACCATCATCGAAACGCATTTTTATAATCTGGATGTCATATCAACAGAAATTAAATTTCTGCTAATACACGGCATCCATCAAATCCTATAGAGAAACCATTCAAATCAATTCACATGGTCTTCTGTAGGATTCGAAGCCCGGTGCCTCATCTCTAATACAAAATTGGCTCGCAAATGAATGCGAGCGCCGTAGACACCTATGCTACCGTCCCGATCGAGGAAAGATCTGGGTAAAATTCTTTACTGATTTTTTATAATGGGTCTCTCATTTTTTAAATTGATTTTGGGTACCTACCAAAGATATCGGATACCTACCTTCTAACAGAATTTCTTCAAAGGAGCCACGGGTTTTATATGGACCTCAAGTTTGCAGCTCTACAGGGTGAGCTGTTAGAAGGAGCCAAAAGTATGAAGTGCAGAATTAATACATATTTTCATAAACATAATATATCTATCACTCTTAATAAGTAATTTATTTTTTTTTTCTATGAAAATTATGGCACGTCTTACATTTGTATATATAGTTTGCACATTGTAAAATAAATCATAGTGTTCAAAAAATTAGGAATATTAATTACTGAAATAAGGTGCATTTTAAGGTATTATCATAATTAGAACATGACCTCTGTTCACTTATTTGTTATATTAAATACTAGATAATATTTATTAAAAATACAGGGTGTGTATAATTTTTTTTTCTAAAACGGATCGGTATCGAAAAATTTGAGGAAAAGTACAAAATTGAAATTTTTTAGTATTTTCGTTGGCAATGAATATATACAGAAACATGTTTTAAGTAAGATGTGTGTGTGAAAAATGTATGTATTTAGTTCATTCTTTAAATTTTTACAGGTTGTACATAATAAACCGGAAAAAAACCTATAAGTAACTTTAGGTAAGACATGAAAGTCATGTGTTGGACATATCAAATTTTTTATTAGGGAGGCAGGATCATGTACCATTCCACTGGTGAAGAGTTCAGTGGCCTGGTACTACTTTTCAATAAATCAGATGGCGAGTGTATGTAGAGTCCACAGCCATCCACAGTGTTTAATACATTTAAGTCCATAGTAAATACACTGTAACTATTGATGATATTGTAGTTGCTCAGGGAACACGAATACATAACTGATGAAATTAGAAGAATGTATTGCGTTTGTTCTGTTAATTCTAGTAACACTCGAGTGTGGATCTCAGTAGGTCTAGCGCGATTGAGTAAGTAGGTAGTTAAATTGGACACACGCATTGCGTACATACAAACAAATGTGGTTTCAAACATACATATTATAGCTGGTCATTCAGTGGGTACATACAAAGATAATCATTTCATTCATATAAATATAAAGATTCTTATGTTATATCATTTCATTTGTTCTTAGTCATAAGCATTTAATGTTTTTCACCCTAAAACTGCTTTACTTATTTTCCAAGCCGCCTTATCATACTACAACAAAACATAATTATACATCTTTTTAAATTTGTCAAGTGTTTTAAAAACTAATTCATGCATTCTTTATTAACCAAACTCTGCAAAAGTCATCTGTTTAAAAAGTTAAAAAACGAGGAAAAAGAAATTTGCAAGAAGAAAAATCAAATGTCCAGTTAATTTTATGCTCTAGCATACTAGAGAAAGTATATATATTTTTTAATATGAAGGTGTATGTTGTAAGTTCATTATCATCTTAATGTGGCTAATTTATTCTTAGAAAATTCATTACTATAAATAGGTTCTTGTAATTACCTGAAAGCCAACAAGTGTAAGAAGTGCGAGTATGATCAATGTACTTTGGAACATGTAACACTGAATTGGGAACAAAGGTTCCCAGTCATGCCTGTTGTCAAACTGTAGGCAACGGCATGCCTAACAGGCCCAGGATATTTGGGGGCCTCCAAATGAAACAAGGTCAAGAAAATGGTACTTTTTTATTATTTCTTAGTTTTGGTTGAACCAGAGTATGATTATTTTTGATTTTTTGTTTGTCTTATTGATCTCAAAATTTTTTATACTAGTCTATGAAACATTATTCCAGTTGATTTATTTACTATTGAGTAATGCTAGAGCAGAAACAAAGTACTTTATAAAGCCTCTTAAAAAATCATTTACACACATACATAACCTCTAAAAATGAAAAATAGAGCATAGTAAAATTGCGGTAAAATGCTGGACCAACCCCACTTTACACTATCGTATCCCTAGGTTGCAATATCCAGACTTATTCAGTGGTAAGATATAGCAAGAATATAAAATTGAGTGTTTTGTGATACCTATATATCTGTTAAAAAAATCTAGAGTAAGGAGACAGAACACAAAATTTCATAATTGAGCTAAATAAATTTTAATAAAACATTACAATATTCCTACATAAATCTATATACATATTAATGGTGTCCATGACCATGGTCACTGGGGAACACTTTATCATAAATAGCGGTGCCTACAATAGTTAAAACAAAAGCTCCAAAGCCAACTTTAAAGCCTCTGAAAACTAGTGTATGAAGTCTGGACGCATGTGTTCCAAACTCTTTGGGATTGTACCTCCATACTTCATTACGTAGCCAAGGGTCTTTTAAACCTTGTGCAGCCAGGGCTTTTTTGGTCGCCAAAAGTTGTGGTACCTCTTCTACTTTGTATATTTTATAATCGGGGATTGTGTAGGGATCGTGTCCATGTCCGTGTCCACCGCCCCCCATAATCTAAAAACAAAATTAACCTTAATTTATTGCATAACCAATATTAACAAAATATTAAGTAATTTATAATTTTTTTCGATACACTTACTTATCAAGAAGAATAAACTATTTTGTTAAAGTTTGATATTAAAATCTATAAAAATTAAAGGTTTTTTTTATAATTTTTCACCTTATTATCTTATTATGCTTTATTTATCATCTGTCAGCAGCAACCAGTGCGCACTGTGCACACGCATGTCCCGCATGAACGCGTCCATCTGTCAAATTGTTAAATTAGCTGAGTTCGGCATTTTCAACTCTCGTAACTCCTGTCGCACCTTCACTTCAAACATTCCGTTGGTGGGTTTTTTGTAGCCTTTTTGTTACGCTATTTGTGAATTTGTAGCTTTGCCCAGGTCCGAAAATACAGCGGATCCGCTAGCTTAAATTTCCATAGTAGCGGCACAGATTCAGACCCAGCTGGTTTTTCGTAACTTTTTTGTAGCTTTTTTGTTACGCTAGTCTCCCTTTTGTAGCTTGTACTGAACCTGAGAAAAGCCCGGATCCGCTAGCTTAGCGGATATTTGTAGCGGCACCAGCTCGGACCCGGCTCATTTTTTGTAACTTTTTGTAGCTTTTTTGTTACGCCTGTCTCGATTTCGTTGCGAGGCCTGAGCGTAAGTAATAATCGTTTCTCCATGAGCGTGAGAGAAAAGTGCGTTAATTTAAAATCAAGTTTCGGCCTCTACAAGTAATATGTGTAACTCGATAGTGTGACTATCTGTTGCTAGATGGCACCAGTATTGCATTTCACGAATTATGGCCATCTTCCATCCAATATATTTTTGAGAAATTTAGATTTAATCTCAAAATCGGACATTTGTTTTTAAATGTTTTTTAGTGTTGTTTATGAATTTATACTTTTGTTGAATAAAGAATATTCTTACATCTTTTTTGAATGATTTGCTTAATCAATCGTTTTGCAGTATTTATGGACCAGTGTTTAATTCTGTCCGATCACAATATACAGGGTGTTCCATCTCAGACGAGCCACCCCGTATATTTCTTATCCCATAGTAATTGGCAAAATTTCCCGAAACACGTCGGATGATTTTCTTTGGGAAACATCTTTTGACGTATATTTGAGGCTTGAACCAGCAACCCCCTATGAGGAGGCGCTTCAACCCCTCAAAATGGAATAGGGAAGAAGGGTTGAGTGATACATCATTTGTAAGGTCTTGAAAGCCTCGCTCTTTACAACGGTGTATGAAAAAAATCACATTCTTAAAAAAATTTAATTGTTTTATCGCATGAAATGATCGAAGAAACGTGATAAACACCTTCTAAGAACAAAAAATGAAGGCAAGATAAGAAAATGTTTTGATTTTTTTTTTTATTTATTAGTTCGAGAGAATTTATTATTGTATGGAAGTCAATGGAGGACAATTTGAACATTTCATTTAAAAACGCAGTTTTGATTTTTTTGATTGTAAAAAGCATGATAAAACGATTTTTTTTAAGAATGTGATTTTTTTCATACACCGTTGTAAAGAGGCTTCCAGCACCTTACAAATGAAGTATCACTCAACCCCTCTTCCCTATTCAATTTTGAGGGGTTGAAGCGCCCCCTTATATAGGGGATTGCTCGTTCAAGCCTCAAATATACGTCAAAAGAGTCCCCCAAAGAAAATCATCCGACGTGTTTCGGGAAATTTTTCCAATTACTATGGGGTAAGAACTCGGGGTGGTTCGTCTGAGATGGAACACCCTGTATTTAGTGAGAATAGGTAATTGCTTGGTAGCTATTACCACCGGTGTGAAGTTAGCAGTAAGTTTTAGCAGTAAAATAACCGAAAACACCCGATCGGGAAAATAGTGGCGTCCGGCATACAACTATTTTAATAATCTTGTCAATATGTATTTTACATTAATATAGGACAAATAATTAATATACATACCGTTGAAAATGTCCGATTTTGAGATTATGGCTAAATTTCTCAAAAATATATTGGATGGAAGATGGCCATAAATCGTGAAATGCAATACTGGTGTCATCTAGCAACAGATAGTCACACTATCGCGAGTTGCACATATTACTTGTAGAGGCCGAAACTTGATTTTAAATTAACGCACTTTTCTATCACGCTCATGGAGAAACGATTATTACTCACGTGCAGGCCTCGCAACGAAATCGAGACAGGCGTAACAAAAAAGCTACAAAAAAGTTACAAAAAATGAGCCGGGTCTGAGCTGGTGCCGCTACAAATATCCGCTAAGCTAGCGCATCCGCGCTTTTCTCAGGTTCAGTACAAGCTACAAAAGGGAAACTAGCGTAACAAAAAAGCTACAAAAAAGTTACGAAAAACCAGCTGGGTCTGAATCTGTGCCGCTACTATGGAAATTCAAGCTAGCGGATCCGCTGTTTTTTCGGACCTGGGCTAAGCAACAAATTCGCAAATAGCGTAACAAAAAATCTACCAGGTCTTGTGTAGTGCCGCCAAGTCTTTCCGGTTTGTTTCAAGCGCTAAATACAGCGCTGAATAAAAGAACACGCCTCTAGTGTTCCATTGTTTGAATTGATTTTTCTTGACACTTGTCATCTTTTATTTTGAGTTTTGTGTTCTGTGTATTTGACATTTGATTTGGACAGGAACAGGAATGGAAATGGAATAATTCCATAAATTTGTCCCTAGAATCAAGCATAATAAAAAAAAAGATTTTTAAAGTGAATATAGGGAAAAATATGGGAACTGAAATCCTAAAGTCTTTCGGGAATTTACAACATGAGCTAGAAGAGGCAAGGAGTAGTTTAAAAGGAGTAGATGAGAGTATAAAGAGGTTAATCGGCAGAGATCCTTCAGAATTACCCCCAAGAAATGTTCAAAAAAGATCTGTTGATGAAAAAGGTAGGACTCCAACACACAAAGTTTTAGGAAGGCAGCGTAATTTTGCGCATGAAAATGAAGAACCTTCAATTAAGAGGAGAAGTAATATTTCTGTATTTAAAAGATTGTCAGATAAAGTCCCTGATGACGATCATTCTTTACCGCATAAGGGATTAATTAGCAAAGTAATAGTAACTCCAAAAGAAGTACCTAGTAGAGAACAAGCTCTTGAAGCACAAAATAAGGATGAAAAGTTTAAGGCTCGAAATAAAAGAATGTTTGGAGCTCTTCTTGGAACACTACAGAAATTTCAACAGGAAGAAACCAAACTTAAACAGAGGGTAAGTACTTTAATCAATAGATTCTATTATAAACAATTAAAATCATTTATTTATAGGAACAAAAACGTGCAGAATTGGAAAAGAAAATTGAAGATCATGAAATAAAAGAAAAGGAAGAAGTGAGAAAGGAAAGGCAAGAGTTGTTTTTCAATCGCAAGAAAAAACAGGCTGAAATTAAGGTTATAGAATTGAAAATGTTAAGAATGAAAGAATATGCTTCCTGGGAGCAAAGCCAAAAACCTAGGTTAAATTTTATTTTAACAAAAGCAAAGCCTCATATTCATTATATTCCTAGGAAAATGAATGATCAGACTAAAAAACTTGTTGAAGAGAGTAATAAAAATATACAGGGTAAGCAATAACATAAGTAGTTGGGTCATTCCATTTGCTATGAATCAATATTTTTATCTAAGTTAAAGTGACCATATTTTGAAAAGTAGAAAGCGGGACAAATCGAAAAAATTGGGTTTTTTCGATGAATTCTATTTGCAGTTCTTTGAAGAGCAAAAATAATATTTTTTACATATATACACCAACTTTTGTAGAAATGTCTGTTTATGAGGTTACTGGTAGGACCTGAAACAGCATATTGCTTGGTGAAGTGCTTGGCACTATGTTTAAATTTCTAATTCGGAAACATTTAGAATTTAATATTTTTAATAAATTCAAACAGTGGGTTTTAAAGGACAAATCTAAATAAAATATTTGCAGAAATTTCACATTTTCTGTTTTTGTTATGTTTGAGTTAATCAATACAAGGGTGTTAGTGGACAAAGTTTTTTGGCGAGAATGAAATACTAAGGATTAATCACTAGACCAGGCAGGAAATTTCAATCAAAGAGCTCGTAAATTACAGCATGTTGCATACAATTCCATTGCTGGCCTTTTTTTCGTGACTACTGCGCATGTCTTTCAGAGTGTTCATTGTATGTTTGATGCAATAAACAGGCAAGCAAAAATATAGAAATATTACTAATTTTAAAGGTCAATTGCCTGCAATTTTGGTGACTTTTAGGGACTTTTTATATAAAAAACCTAAAATTTGAAACCAATTAATGTGGTACTCATGATATTAAAAAGACTGAAGTAGTTGTTATCAATAGGTCTTTTTTTGCATCGAAAGTGTAGCACTGAGCTACACCACTTCTGAAAATATTGTACCATCCATACAATTTGTATAAATGGAACAATATTTTCAGAAATGGTGTAGCTCAGTGCTACACTTTCGATGCAAAGGAAAATACCTAATGCTCTGTTGTTATAATGGTCTCCGTGTCTAACAATATGGCTAACTCCGTGTTCTTCACAATAATAATACAATAAAATTTAACATTTTTGTTTACAAAACTGTCACGATCTGCAATGTTGGTAGTAATGACAGATGACAGCATTAAATAAAAAGTCTTGAAAATATGCTACAGTGTACCAAGGATGTGCAATTTTGTGTGTGCAATTTTAAATTGCAAGCAATAGACATGCAGTAAACAGGCTGCAATGTATAGTTAAACCAGAGATTACTACCATAAAACAGCGGGTAATTTACTTATCAGCAGGTGGCCGTCTCTACACAGAGACGTACCTACTCTAGTCATTAAGTTTTGTTCTATAGGTCAATAATTGGGGTAAAATAAATATTAAGAAAAATCGCTATAATTCAGAATTGTTTATTTAATTATACAGTGTGTACAAAAAGTAACGTGGTAACTTGGTAAAAGCAAAAATTAGTCTGACAAAGTACGAAAAAGTAGGTAGGTAATAAAAGTACTAAAAAGTAAAAAATAAAGTATTTAAAAGTACAAAATGTAGGTTGAATATGTAAAAAGTAATTATTAAAAAGTATAACGTGGTAAAATGGTAAAAATTGGTATGACAAAGTACGAAAAAGTAGGTAGGTAATAGAAGTACTAAAAAGTAGAAAATAAAGTATTTAAAAGTACAGAATGTAGGTTGAACATATAAAATATAACTATTAAAAAGTATAAAGTGGTAACTTGGTAAAAATAAAAATCAGTATGACATAGTACGAACAAGTAGCTAGGTCATAGTGATTGTTTCTACCCTTACATTGTGGAATCTATTCATAATAAATAAAATATTAAAAAATGAAATGTATAAATTCCACTATTGTCAATCCTGACGATAGAAGTTTATGCTTCTGAAATAATTGTTGATTTTGAATTACTTAGATAAGTATTTTTATTAATATAGTGTAATCTTTACATTTCATTTTCTAATATTTTATTTATTTAAACAAAATTACTCACGAAGTTCAGTTTCACTTTTTAAATTAAATTTAAAATGATTTCCACATAAATTATTTTATAAAATAAAGTATGGAACTAGTAAGTTCGAGACTTTTATTTTACAAAATAATTTAGGTCGATTATACCAAATATGAGGAATTAATTTGTTATAAGGGGTCTGATGTGAAGAGTTGGTTTTGCATATTATTATTAAATAAATATAAGATATAAATAATAAAATAGAACATTCTTAATATGTTTATTAATAACTTGAATAAATATTATTAGATAAAAATAAATACAAATAATAATAATAATACATATATTTAAGGAATACTTACTTGAAGCAAATCTTTAAAATACCTATCAATAATTTAAATGTGAAGTAGAGACTAGGATATTACATTTTATTAACACTAAAGTAATATATTTTATAAATGTCTTTTTAACCGAGGACAAATGTAATATAGATATTGTATTAAAAGGTGAATCCTTTTAACTATTCATTCAATGATAAATAGGTATTTTCCTTCCAAATACAGATGGTGGTATTACTCTCTTATGTGAAAAATGATTTCGGAATCCAGTCCAGTGATAAATTGATTATCAATTAGTTGTTATATCCGTTTGTCTTTTTATGATGCATGGTGAATCAATGAAGTTTTTCTCGAAGTTTTCAACGTAGCACCAAAATTATTGCAAAACACAGTAGGAAATAGAAAAGCAAAACATCACAATTTTGCAAATAACTAAGACGAAACTATAAACAGAAACCAAAAGCCAAAGCCAACAAAAAATCACTAAAATCAGACGGAAAAATGAGACCACCCAAAAACATAAATAAATACACGTCATATATTTGGATTCTTTGTGGTTAAGTTTTCTCCCATAAAGCTTAAAAATGGAGTAAGAAATCATAATTTCACCAGTAGCCCCATCTAGAGTTTGGAGCAAATAACATAAAAAATGTCAGTTGTCGGTTTTGACCTTGGTCATTCACGTGGAACCTCTATGTGCTTTGTGGCTACCACAGTCGAACTTAAGGTTGGAGAAGTATTATTTCTTCGAACTGCTGACTTAAGCTGACACCATATATGTTCAGTTGGGTTAAACATACAGTGGTAAGGAGGAAGTCTGAGCACCGTATGTCCCAAGCTTCCAGCTAATGTGTCACAAAAATATTTCTTCTGTATTGAATAGCTTTTTAAAACTTCCAGTAACTGCTTTTTTGTGTACTTTTCCTCAAAGTACAAATCATTGTTTACCATGTAATCTTGTATGATGGCTTTTAGATCGTTTGAACAAGGTGCCTTATCTAGTCTTCGACTGTGGTAGCTGGCATTATCCATGACGATAACACTGTTGGATGGAATATTTGGCAAAAGTTTAGTTTGGAACCAATCTTCAAATAATTCGGCAGTAGTCATGGTAATCGACTAAGGAGCCCTTAATATTTTTTGCCGATAACGACAACTCATTAGGTATAAAACCATTATTGGTTCCTACTTTTGCCTTTATAATAATAATAATGACTTTATTGCTTTCAATACATACAAATTATTATACAAAATTATATAAATATACATAAAAAAATACTGAAAGACAAAAGGCGACGTTCGCACTTACTGGCGAGCTCAAAGATTGAGCCAGCAAATAAGCAGCGCTCTTCCACGCAACCCAGAAAAATATAAATAATTAAGTAATGCATACAGATTTTCTATGAAAAAAAAGTGAAATTCTAGCTTTCAATAAGAAAGCAAACAAACAATTAATATGGAAACTTAGAAATAATAAAAAAAAGGTCAAATTTTATAAATCCTAGATCTGTGTTGTTATTGTAGTTATTAATCAATAGTGACGAGTAAAAAATAGAAATAACATGAAATATTATTGTTAAACTAAATTTAATTAACAATATAAATTAAAAATTGTAAGTGATATCTCCGTTAAATAAAAGGTTTTTGACTACTTTTCTAAAACTTGAGAGTGATGTGATATTAAATATTTTAGGGGCAAGGTTAAATAATTTGGCTGTGAAATACGAAAAGCAAGATCGGAATAAGGTTGTAGTGTGTTTCGGAAGTGTAAGGACATTTTTAAATCTTACATTAACATTATGGACTTCAGATCTCCTTTTTATTTTTTCATACAAATAATCAGGTTTTTTTGATAACAATAATTTATGGATCAGGACATAGGCATGTAACAATCTCCTATTATTTAGATTAAGCCATCCCAAACTAGCCAGATGTTGAGATGTACGGGTACGACGATGAATCCCGCAAATAAATCTAACACACGCATTTTGAGTTCGTTGTAAACGGTTTTTATGAAATTGTGTAAGTGCAGGCCCATATACAATGTCACCGTAATTAAACTGAGACAGCACTAAGCTTTCGCAAAGCTACTTTTTGGTATTTCTGTTGAGAAATTCCCGATTAGAATAAATTAACTTTAGATTACAGAAAGATTTTTTTATTATAGAAGAGATATGTTGCGCAAAGGATAAATCTTCATCAATGTATATGCCCAGAGTTTTCTCACAAACTCAGAATGTTAAAAATTCATTAATACTTACCCTTAGAATATTTTTAATTCTATTTTTAACTTGTTTACGGCCGAAAAGCATAGCTTTGGATTTTGTAGCGTTAATTGTTAAGCAAAATTTGTTAGATATCTCCGAGATTGCAGATCTTCGTTGATTTTTGTGATAGCGCCATTCGATTCGGATTCTTTAAAGTCAAGGTAGAGTTGAGTGTCATCAGCGTAGAAATGAGAATTCATGTGTTTCAGATATTTAAAAAATTGAGAGGTATAAATTGAAAATAAGAGAGGACCTAAAATATATCCCTGCGGTACTCCACGTGTAGTATGTATTAAATTGGATGTTTTTCTTCTATTTGAACTCTTTGATATCTTCCATTTAGGTAAGAGCTCAATAAATTTACTGAGGCTGTGTTAAATCCCATAAAATGACATAAAGCTAACAGTAAAGAGTGATTTATTTTGTCAAAAGCTTTTGAGTAATCTAAGAAAATTAGTATACATAATTTTTTAGCATCTATATACGAGTAAATATCGTCTAATACTTTAAGTAACGCTGTAGTGCAACTGTATTTTGGACGGAAGCCCGATTGATGTTTAGGTAGAAGATCAAATTGTGAAATATGAAATTTGTTCGTCTAAAATTTTCTCAAAAGCCTTTGACAGAGTACAAAGTATACTAATTGGCCTCAGATCAGAATATTCAGTTGGGTTCTGTTTTTTGGGAAGCGGCAATACTTTTGATTGTTCCCTAAGGATGGGAAGGTGGAATTATTGATACAATGATTGACTATGTGTGTCACGTAGGGTAGAATTATAGGGCAAGTATGTAACAGCATTACAATATTTATTTCATCCGGACCAGTAGCATGGGATTTAATGGAGAGTAATTTTTCATATACTTTTAATTCATTAACTTCGGTAAACTTCAAATCTTGCAGATTCTCTTGGACATGAGACTCATAATGATTTAAAATGTGTATGTCTGGGTTATCTAGGCCACCAATACCGTGAATAAAATAATTATTTATTATTTCTGGATTTTTTAGTTCATTGGGAATAGTAGATTTTTTATTTTTTGTTATGTTCAGATTATTTAATTCTTTCCATATGTTACTTTTTTGTCTTAACTTAAATTCCAGGAATGCTTTTTTCTCTCTCTTAATTGCATAATTAACTTGATTTTTTAGAGTTTTGTAATACTCCCAATGATTAGGAACTTTTGTTTTATTGAATCTCTCTAATGCCCTGTTTTTATATTTAATCATTATTTTTATTGTGTCTGTAAGCCAAGGTGCCTTATTTTTTGTTATTTTTATTTGCCGTACAGGGGCATGTTTCTGAAATAAATACAATTATTATGTGGCGCATTAGTCTGGCACAAGCCAGATGAGTCCAATCAACTTTTGTTTGTAATATCGTGTGTATTGAACCAAATTTCATCCAAATACACAACTGTTCTGCCAGCTTCTCTAAAATCATTTATCGCCAATAAATATTGAAATCTCCATTGCTTAAGGCGCACAGATTCCAATATGACTTTTTTGCTGTTATTAATTTTTTTAAATATAACCGCGTTTCTTAAAAGAGACTTAAAGGAAGTCTCATTGCTACACTGGATGCCAGTTTCGTCCTTTTCAAGTCGTTGCATCAATATATCTAGTGTAGGCAATCAATCAATATATGTTTATTGTCAAAGCTACAAGAACTTATAGACAAACACTTATAAATATAATTATTATGTAGTACTAACAATTACATGCATAAAAATTTAAAAATTGTATAAAAACGTTAAATATAAAATTAGAGGTTAATTACAAATACAAATAAAATAAACATCGATAAAATTATATAAATACAAAAACATGTACGTTCAAACAGTCACAACGATTTAAGAGTCATTGTAAAATTCCGTCAAAGCATAATATGCTTTTGTCATCAACATATCTCTAAGCAGTATTTTAAATGTTGTGACCGTTTCCGTCGATTTAATATCATTTGGCAACTTATTGTACATTTTAATCCCATTATAAATGAAAGAGCCCCTTACCAGTTCAGATTTGGGTATGGGCAACTGCAGGTTGTCAACTTGTCGCGTTAGCCGAGCGTTAGTATTGGCATAGTTCGATTTATTTTTATGTATAATACAAGTGGTTTCAAGAATGAACAACGATGTTAATGTTAAAATTTCATGTCTAATAAAATGTGGCTGACATGACTCAAGCTTGTTCATTCCACATAAAAATCGTATTGCTCTCTTTTGCAGGCAAAAAACAGTATTGAATAATTCGCGGCTGCAACCTCCCCAAAATGCAATTCCATATCTCAAATGGGACTCAACTAGGGCGTAATACACAATTTTTGCTGCCTTAAAACCTAGTTCTTTTGCCACAGTTCTGACTGCAAAACATCCAGAAGAAAGTTTTCTGTTTAGCAATTCTATATGGTTTCTAAATTTCAAATTATTATCTAAATTAATTCCCAGAAATTTTATTGTGTCAGTACATTCAATAATATGACTTCCCAACTGAATATTTGGTAGGGAACATTTAAGGGTTAGCATTTTAGTTTTTCCCATATTAAGACGCAAATAGTTGGCATCGCACCATGCTTTGATTTTCTTAATGTCACAGGATATGGTGTTGTATAGGACAGAAGTGTCATTGCTGTACCATAAAATCGTAGTATCATCTGTAAATAGAGTGAAAGTACCTGCAATTTCAAGTTGAGCTAAGTCATTCACATAAAGGAGAAATAACATGGGACCTAACACAGAACCCTGAGGGACACCCCAACTAATATCTAAAACTTGAGAATCCTGAGACGCTCTTACCATTTGCTTACGTTCTGAAAGATAAGATTTTACCCAACTCAGCACTCCGTTTTTGATCTCGTAAACTCGTAGTTTATCCAACAGTACTGTATGATTGACGCAATCGAACGCCTTAGTTAAATCACAGAATATCGCCGCTACAGAATCGTCAACATTAATTCTAGAATAAGCATGTTCAAGATAAGAAAATATCGCATCAGAAGTACTTTTGTTCCTTTGAAAACCAAACTGTTGTGTTTCCAGCAATTTGTGAGTTTCTAGATAATGAATCAAACGTTTTTTTACAACTTTTTCAATAATTTTGGCCACTGTAGGAATGAGAGATATAGGCCTAAAGTTCGAAGGATCGTAGTTACTGCCGCCTTTATGTATGGGAACAATAACACTGGTCTTAAGAAATGACGGAAAATTTGATTCGACGAAACTTTGGTTCATCATACTAGCAAGGACTAACATTGTTGATTCAGGAAGGTTTAGGATAACTCTAATAGAAATATCATCATAACCAGCAGCATTTTTGTTTTTAATATCTGAACATATTTCCATTATTTCAAAACATGTTGTAAACCTTAGAGTAAAGTTGGAGTTAACATGGGTATTTTTTAAATAATCTAAAGGATCAACTGACGATCTGAAATTATTAGTCAGATTTTCAGCAATTGAGCAATAATACTGATTAAATGTTTCTGAATCGATGTAGTTCTTAACGGATTTGGAATTTTGTTTATTTTTCAATTCATTAATAATATTCCAAGTTTCTTTAACTTTATTATTAGATTTTTCAATTCTAGAATAATAGTATATGTCCTTAGCTTTTTTAATAACAGCCCTATATATTTTCCTGTAATGGAGGTAATAGATTAAAAAGAATTCATCTTGGACATATTTTTTAATGTAATGGAGGGATCGCATATTTTTTGCTGAACACCTTATGCCTGAGGTCATCCAAGGTTTTTTATTTTTTATATTAATTTTTCTAATGGGAAAACTGGATTCAAAAAATTTGCACAAATTATGGTAAAATGCTTTAAATGGATCATCAGACAACATGCAGCTATGCCAATTAAAATTATGGCTGCTTAATCTAAATTTATCATAATTAGGTTTACTAAAAATACGACCATATCTGAATTTCATTTTCCTAAGCTTCGTATCGAGAGGCGTTGAGCACAAAACAACCTCATGATCACAATTTGCTCTCTATACAAGTCATATATTTTCCTTCGAATTAGGTCTACATCACAGCCATCTAGTTTCTTTGAAGTACCGGAGTCTTTTCTTTTCCTTCTTTTTAAAATAGGGTTACTTACTATTTTAAATACTGTCGAATACGGCGTTTTCGTGTACCGTAAGTGAGGTAGGTATAAAAACTTAATATTTTTTTTTCCCATCAACGTGTAAAACTTGTCGATTAGTGGTATTACCACCACCAGTTGAAGTACTGGCTGCAGGTTCAACCCAATGGACGGAACATTTTTCACTATATAAAATTTTTAAGACACTTCGAAATAAACGCAACTGACACAACGGAATATTCGTTAATGACTGAATTTAGTTTAACTACTATCCTTCTTTCGTTTCTAAAAACGGTAATTGGTCAGTTCTCAAAACAGTTACATACTAACTAACTACCCATTATTTATTTAACTTTTTCTAATCTGTCTGGAATTATAGGACTCGATATATTAAACAATAGTATTCTTGTTTTCAAAGTCTGGTAATTTATTTGTAACTCTATATCCCATTATCGCTAATCTCCTTAATAGACGTTTAGTACAGAAAGTCAGGTGGTCAGGCAAGTAAATTTTATTTATAAGTGCTTTAAATTTTAGGAAATTTTTTATTATAAAAATAATTTTACTTTTAAAACTGTTAATTGAAATAGAGAGCCCTGATTTATGAGAGTCACTAGATCACTGGTTTTACTATACTACGGCTTTAATGCATTCATAATTTTGGCCTTTGCAATGTTTGGGTCTTTATCATTAAACAGTAATGTTGAATCATCTGCATAAAGAGTGGTAAATGACTAGGGTATAACAGAAGGTAGCTAGTTTATGTATATATAAGATAAACAACAAAGGTCCTAGTATAGATCCCTGTGAATCTCCGTGTGAATTTACCATAAGATTAGATTTTATGTATTTCCGTTATCAACAATTTTGACAGATTGTGACCTGTTATATAGGTATGAGGATAACCATTTGTATGCTGTTCCCCTCATATCATATTTATAAAGCTTGTCTTTCAAAATACAATGTCAAAATAACCGGAAATAGCTTGTAATAACTAAACAGGAAAGTCATGTGCTAGACACAGATTTTTTTACTTTTTAAGCAAACTGTATTATTTATTATATTATTATTATTATTATCCTATATTAGGTTATCCTATGTCAATAAAGTATCTATCATTATATCTATCTATCTAAAGTAGGTATGTTTTCAATAGTAATTTTTGTTTTCTAGAACAACTGGACACAAAGAAAAAACAAGTATCTGATGAGTTGCAGCATATAGAAGAGAAAATGAAGAAAAACTTTGATTACAAATTTGGCCATAAAGAAGAAAAAGATGAAAAGCAAGTAGATAATGCTTCAAGAAGAAGGCATGATACTGATGAAAAAGATAATGATGATCAGTTTGATGATATCAATGAATCTCATGTTATCTATGAGAAAGTTGATAATAAAGAAAAAATTGAGTTGGAACATTCTGAGGCCCAAGAAGTGTACCAAAAAAATGAGAACAGTGTAAATGGAAACAATCATGAAGTTCAAATGGACACAAGTGTAAATGATACTGTAACTGAAATAAGTGAACCAACAGCTGTTATTAAAGACAATACATCTGGTATAAATGATGCCACAGATGGTGTAACAGAACCCACTGAAGTAAATGATAATCATAGTTTTATTAATTCTGAAACAAGTGTCAATAACACTGTAACAGATTATCAGTATACAGAATTTCAATCAGAATATAATTCTGAAGAATTACAACAAACTTACAATAATATCAGTGTTCAAATGGGGAACTTTGGTCCACAGACTAGTGACTGATGGTGAATTAAGTGTGGTGTAAAAAAAATCCTTTCCATAATTGGTGAACCGAAATATAAAATTTTTATCCTAAATGATATACAGTGTTAATTGAAGAAACTCTTATTATTTTCAAAATTTCTTTGGACTTTTTAATTTAAATAATTATTTATATTTTACACATCAAAATAGCATGAACATTTACTTACTAAAGTATGCAGGTATACTATATTGGTGAAGAGCCCAAGAAAATCAGTTATATTATTTTCCTAATAATAAATAAGAAGTACAATTTAATGCATATAAATATTTAAGAATTGTATTGTTAAATAATTTTGACACTCGACAAGATATAAATACATCTTTATGAATTTATTTATTTTATACTTAATACTTGTCTGTAATTTTGGTTTAAAACTTTTCTTTGGGGCACGTTTTTTAATAATTATTGTTGGTCTTAGTTCTCATAAACAGCAATATTTTCAGTGGCCAATTGGCTGGTTTGATAAGGTAAGTATACCAATAATTGAAGGAGTTAATGGAAAAAGGAAAACAAAAGGAAAACAAATTACGTATTTTGAGTTATGGGTATCACCGGATTCAGCTTATAAATTATCTTCGTTATGCTCTTATTACAAGCAGTGGCGGCTTGTGGGCACTAGCGGCAGGGGGGCACACACTGGAAAGGAATCCCGGGATTCGTATTTAGAATTTTTTATACTCTTAAATATGCAAACAGAGATTTGAGTTCCTCGAAAAAGTCAGACAAAACCAAAAGAAAAATTAAAATTTTGTCCCATTTATAAATATTCATTTTTTTTCATCATATTTTTGACTGCTTTATAAAAAAAAGTTATTTTTCTTTGTAGTTTTATTTCTTAACTATTCCAATGGTCCAACTAACGTTTCGTAATCACAATAAATAAATTATTATCATGGTCCAACAAACTCGCACCTTATGGGATCTATTAACTTTGGGGATCCCATCTTGTAAATAATATAGCGGTTTGTAAAAGGGTATATATTAATATAATAAAAAGACAATTCCGTCATGACAGAAAATTATATGACATTTTTCTTTTTTAATAAATAATGCTTGGCAACCGAGGTCGTTAAGTAGATAGATAGGGTGCACTTAAATCCTGCCTCCCACTAAGCTGCCTTAATAGGTAATATTGATATGTGTGGCATGGGTGTGACATGTATCAATATATTATGAGTTGGAGTTAGTATGTAGTGCTTCCAAGGCACTACAATACTTTCCCCCTTTTTTAAAAAAAAAATCATTTAACAAGTTTTTTTTTAATTTGTTTTAATTATGTTTGAATTGGTTGATCGTCAAAATATAATAATATAGTTGGTTGTAGTAAAGTATTTTTAATAAATATATTTAATTTTATTATGTATATAGAAAATGACCAATTGGAAAATGAATAAATTAATGGCAAATGTAAAATATTGATTGAATCCAAAACTATGAGGGTGTCTGTAGACCATATGTAGTTTATTAGATTCTGCTTAATCAATTAAAGAGGCTTTAATAAGCGATTGCTTCGCTATGTTAAGGCTCTTTTGATACACTTTTGACCATTCTTTTTCAACAGAGTAATTGTTATTTGAGTCAATTTATATACTCATGTAGGAAATTACTAAGTGATAATTGTAAATTGTATATAAATACATGGACGATCAATATATATGTTAATTTATTTTAATTTTTGATATTCTTGCTTTCGTGTTGTTTAATAATGATTAATAGTTTGGTTTTGAAAATGTTTTTGAATTGAATACTAATTCTAATGACTTTATTCATTGTGTGGCAGTTAGTGAAAGGAGATTAAACTCACCCTATACATCGGATGTGTAAATTAAGGTTTAAAAAGTTTGATTTTATTAGTCCTGCTGATCCTGATCTCTGATACTGCTGTTAGCTGCTACTCCTTCAGCTGCTTCGGCTGCTTCCGCTGTTAATTAAGCGGTGTGGAATCATAGGTACGGATTCTATCGGGGTCACCAATTATGGGATCTATTAACTTTGGGGATCCCATCTTGTAAATAATATAGCGGTTTGTAAAAGGGTATATATTAATATAATAAATAGACAATTCCGTCATGACAGAAAATTATATATATGACATTTTTTTTTTAATAAATATTAATGCTTGGCAACCGAGGTAGATAGATAGGGTGCACTTAAATCCTGCCTCCCACTACGCTGCCTTAATAGGTAATATTGATATGTGTGGCATGGGTGTGACATGTATCAATATATTATGAGTTGGAGTTAGTATGTAGTGCTTCCAAGGCACTACACACCTTAAGCCGAAAGCGGCATCGCCTTTGTGAGGGAGCCGGTAAAGCCGCTGCGTACATTCGTATCTGGTCTAGGCACATACTTTGATTACTATACGATGCAAGAGAGAGGTCCGACACGCCCAACATAGGGCGCGGCCATTTTGAACCCTGTGACACAGTTTACAGCTAAAGAATCAGATCGCTCACTCTGCGTCGGCACTTTTGATCTCAATGTTTCACTTTATACACTGTGCAACTCGGATAATACAATATATGACAACCGCCTATAATAAAACAGCAGTCTTCTGCGTATCCTGAATTTGTATCCCTGGAGTGGATGTTATTTTGGAACTTTCAACTGGTCCGAGTGAGCTAACTGATTCTTTAGAAATAAACTGTGACTTCAAAAATAATATTCACTGACAGCAGCAAGCAAAATATCAGGTGCGTTTTAATCATCCGCTTCTGCTTCCGGAATTGTCGGTTTGGTCGTTTTAACCTGTCAGATTAAAACAAGAAAACCGACAATTCCGAAGCAGAAGCGGATGATTAAAACGCACCTATTAAAAATATTGCGCCAAGATGTAGGCAACACGTAATAAGGGTTCAAAATGGCAGAGTTTTCTATCTCCTTTTAAAAGGCACTCAGAAAGCTGCGCAGTGCGACCATTCTCCGTATAGTAAAAGAAAATCAAAGTATGTGGGTCTAGGTAATCTGTGCCATGGGTACAGCACGTCACGATGAGGACAGCGCCCCGCTTGTGACGTATAATCCATCGCATGTGTTCATCTTTTGCTAAGCGATATTGTCGTTGTCCTTGTTTTTCGCATCATAATGAGAGAGAAAACAACAGAGGCACACTTACTGTGCCCATCTTCCACTTAGTTTCGGAATTCTCGGAACGTCGCTCAACGCCCGGTCGTCCAGTGTCGTGCCAACGCGGTTTGCGAATATTAGATAAAATAATAATAGGCATTGAGGAAAATATAAAATATGTAAGTTATTTTTTTTTTTGGTTTATTATACTAGGGCACGTGCCCAAGTGCCCTTACGGGCAAACCGCCACTGATTACAAGGAAAAAATTATTATTATTATTACAAACAAATTAGGGCTGAGGAATGAATCCTATTAAGCTCAAAATTACAAGTTCAATAACAAAGACAATTATTAAATAAGTAATTAGCAAATACCATAATGCAAACAAAGCACTAAAAATAAACTTTTAGTTTTCGTTAAAAAAGTCATCGAGTCGGTTTTTGAATACATTTACTGACTGTGCGCGAACAACACTCGAGGGTAAATTATTCCAAGTATAAAAAACTCTATTACAGAAAAAGTTTTGACGGGTACGTGTATTAAAATTTTCTTTGTTCAACTTATACTCATGTCCACGTAGGCGCTCATCTGTATTCCGTGGGAGTATACTATAGAGGTTGGATGAAAAAGTACCATGAAGAAACCTGATATCAGGACACCACGCAGGTCCGACATATTCCATCAACGGTCTAACGTAAGTTGTATAAAGTTTAGAAAATGTTTGAAAGTTCACACGCGTAAAGGACTTTTTTAATAGGTAGATAGTTCGAACGTTTACATACCGCTGATATGTGCTCTGACCACGTTAATGAAGAGTTTACAATGAGTCCTAGGTCGTTATAGGAGTTCACAGTTGCTAACGCACTACCGTTTAGATAATGGTTCACGCACGGGTTATTTTTTCCTATATACAGGACGACACATTTTTCCGCGTTTAAAGGAAGCAGCCAGGTGTCACACCAGTTTGAAATAGTTTCAAGGTCTTTTTGTAGCTGAGTAGAATATGTCACATGATTACAGTATAGCTTAGTGTCATCAGCGTAACACGAAATATTAGCCTAGATCTGCAGTGTATACCAGGAATAGTAATGGCCCTATGATAGAACCTTGAGGGACACCACTTAGAACTGGATACTCTGACGAGAACATCTGTCCAACTTTTACCTTGAAGATGCGATTTGACAAAAAATCACTTACCCAGAGAAGTAATGAGCCGCGAATGCCAGCTTTTCCCAACTTATAAAGCAATCTCTTTTTGGGAACACGATCAAAGGCTTTAGCGAAATCAAGATATACGACATCGACAGGCTCTTTATTGTCCACAGACGTAGTCCAGTCGTTTAAACAGGTCATTAGGTTTGTTAATGTGGATCGGCCTTTAATAAAACCATGTTGTTCTTTTGGCAATACGTGTGGCTCTTAAAAAAATCAGACATATAATTGGTTAAGATGGATCCATTATTTTACAGGCAATTGGGACGAGGCTTATTGGATGTCACACACAGTACGATATATTCAGTATAAAAAGGATTTAAGAACAAAAAAAGCTGTCTCTAGAAAATAAATACAAGGCAATAAGGGACTAAGAAACTAAAAGCTGTTGTTGTAACTGAGAAACGGTTACACCATAGTACTCAGGTAATGCAAAATTGAGTTAAACTTATATAAACCCTTTTTACATTAATAACATGCGTTGTATTCTAAAATGTCTTTAGTTTTGCCCCAATGTGTTTTATTTCCTTTCTTTTCTCTTTATTAACACATACATGCTAAAAGCCTAATAATATGCTATTGATAGGTGCTGAAGAGTATTATTTGAAAACCTAGACATAACTGCGAATGATTTCTTGTTGGCAGAATAAATTTGGAAAGTTTTTGATACATTTTGTTTTTCTAACGCTTGACGCTCATAGGCGTTGTTAGCGCTGTTTGTTCCATATCCTAAGTGACGCACATGTGTGTCTTTCATTTTTAAATTGCAGTAAGTCATTATTGTTAAAAAACATTTACTGGGAAGTAAAAAAAAAACTTTATACATTGGTTCGTTACCAAGTAAAAAAAATTGAGTGGACTGCTTTAATGTTAGGAGAAATTGATTCATGTGGCGTTTAATTAATTGTTTTTTGTTGTTATATGTAAATCGTATTATTAAAACTAATCTTTCTTTGACTTACCAAGGTATAGTTCTGATTCTTGGGAAAATAGGAAATATTCGTGCCACCGACACAATTGGTAATAATTTTGTATTCGATGTCGTACCGATTGTCGCAAAACTCGTACTCGTACTGTCCTTCGGCTCTTTCCATCAAAATATTCTAAGGCACGATTTGGATAAAAATTATAAAAACGGAAAAAGTAAAAACCAGAGGCGGGTCATAAGGTTTAGGAATAGGTTCATCAAAATATACTTATAAAGAGTAAGTTGAAAACAATTTTGACGCGAATAACCTATTTGGATACAATTAAAATAAATAATAAAAATAAATAAATATTATATAGGATCGTAACGATCCATACATATTTGATTGTTTTTACATCGTCAAACAATTTTAATCGACTTCATCATTTTGCTATGTGTGTTATAACGTGACGGTACGATTTTCTCAATTTTATAAATGGAAAATCCTGTTTAATTAATTAATTGGTGGTATCGTTGGTGGTATAACATACACGGTATTCCATTTAAAAAATGAGAAAATCGTAACCTCTCTTTTTGCCATTG